ACCTTGGCCCTTGCATATTTAACCCCTTAGTTCCTTCTGATTTGGTAAACCATAGAAATTCCAGAAAGTCAATGTGAGAAACACTGGGAGGGCTTGTGACTTGGGAGACAAGAAAACAAAATGAAGCCAAGCCCTAGGTTCTAGATGTTCCTCATCAGCTCTCCTCTTGTGGTCATTTTCCCTGCCCCTGGGCAAAGGTCTTCCAGGGCTTCCAAGTCTCAGTTGTGGCAGGAGAATAACCATGCTGTTCAGTTACCTGGGGGACAGAGAAAAAATAGAGACAGCCAAAGGTGCCATGTGGTTTTATGTTATAACAGCTAATCATTTCCAAAGAGTGGGGCCCCAAGCACTTTTTACCTCTTCTCTTTGTTACCCATTCAGTAGTTATAAATCCCATTGATATTAAAATGAGACCTTTATATTTGAAAATGTTTTACACTTGGATGCCAATAACAAGGTATGAACCACCATTCATAGGGCATTTATGGACACTGTGTTAAGCTCTTATATGCATTAGCTTATTTAATTCACATGCCAAGTTTCTAATCCTAGTACTAATATTTTTCTCATTTTAAAGATGATGACACCAAGGCTTAGAGTAATTGAATGTCCTTCCCAAGGCCACAAAGGCTAGTATAAGGACTAAAGCTGATTCTAAGTCCAGACTCACGTCACTCCATAATTCAGGCTTGTAATCACTGTGGCTCTCAAACTTAATTAAGCAGGCATCAGAATATCTGGAGAGCTTAAAAACCAGATCACTGGGTCCATCTCAAAGATTCTGATTCAGCAAATGAGAATTTGCATTCCTAACAGATTCCCAGGTCATTCTACTGATGGTGGTTCAGTGTTCATGCCTTGAGAACCACTGCATTAAACTGTTCTGTTCAGGGTCTGACCAGTTGGCTCCATTGTTTAGAGTGCAGCCTTGTAACATCGGGGTCATGGATTTGGATTCCTATACCAGCCAGTCGCCAAAAAATGAACTGTTCTGTTCAGGGTCTGACCAGTTGGCTCCATTGTTTAGAGTGCAGCCTTGTAACATCAGGGTCATGGATTTGGATTCCTATACCAGCCAGTCGCCAAAAAATGAAAAAAAAAAACTATTTTATTCAATTATGAATTGAGGCATGGATAAATGAATGAATAAAGCTTTGATGTGACACGCTCTTTGAAATACTATACTAAACCATTCCTCAAGTGACAGGTTAGATACTGGCATTAGGTATCCATTGCAAAGCCTAGGAGACAGAAGGTCAAAGCTATAGCTCTTGTTCTACTTCTAACTTGATGTGGTCTTGCTTAACCCCTTGGCCTCAGTACCCTCTTCTATAAAATGGAAAGACTAAGATCTACTGTACTGCCTCATAAGAGTGTAAGATAGCTTAAAAATATGGAGCGAATACAAATCTCCTTTAGGGAGTTTCATGCAGAAGAAACTAAATCTTTAAATCCCCGTGGAAAATTTTGAGAGTTTCTCGGTGCAATTGGCTTACTCTTTGGTCTGTGAATAGCAATAATAACTAACACAGAGTTTCCCATGTGGCAGATATTGAACTAAGTGCATTACATGCTTTTTTTATTTAATCCTCACAGCCAAACCCATGACATAGATACTATTATTATTATTTAACAGATGAGGAAACTGAGATTCATGGTAATTAAGTATTTTACTCCAAATCCCCAGCCACTTAGTAGGGACAGGATTTCAGTCCTGGTCAGTCTTTTTTGACATCCTCTCCTTTCAACCACTATATATTCTGCTAAATACTGCACCCTACCTTATTCTCTGTGAAACTGAAGTTGTGCTGGAAGTTTATCTCCACCAGACCTTTGGCAAAGAGTCCTGTGCTGTTTGCATTTTTGATGCATCAAGGTCTTCCCCATCTAACAGCTAATCAGACGTTAATTATTAAAGGCAAGCTGCCAATTGATGAGTCGATGGCAGCTATAGAACTCTTTGCTTCTCTGTTCTACGACCTTGAGCCCAGATGGGGCCCAAGGCCCTGAGATCATCTCAGTGAACATTTGCCAAACACTTGTTATAAGCAAGGTTGTGCTTAGGCAGTGGGGCTTGCCCAGATGGGAAATAAAACACAGTCCCAGAGCTCATGGCACTTACAGTCTGGTTCTTGACTCCCTGTGCTCTCCAGTTTATGTCGTAGAGCTGGATTGGTACCCTGATGCCCCCGGAGAAATGGTGATCCTCACCTGTGACACCCCTGAAGAAGACGGCATCACCTGGACCTCAGACAAGAGCAGTGAGGTCTTAGGTTCTGGCAAAAACCTGACCATCCAAGTCAAGGAGTTTGGAGATGCTGGCCAATACACCTGTCACAAAGGAGGCGAGGTGCTGAGCCAGTCACTCCTGCTGCTTCACAAAAAGGAAGATGGAATTTGGTCCACTGATATTTTAAAGGACCAGAAAGGTAACTCCATTCCTTTGGATGGTGTCATTTTCTATTTTGCTCTATAAGAGATACAAAAATTAAAAATTGAAAAGGCGAGACATGATTAGTGTAGTTAATGAATTAATATTAAGTCCCTTACTGAAACCACCCAGAACCTCCATTTTCCTTTGCTTTCATGGACTCTTGGGGTTATCAGCCATCAAAATCTCATACTGAGAGAGGCTCATGGTCAGTCTGAATGCTTGTCCTGAGGTTCTCTTTAAGTAATGGTAGCATTATTGAGTGGCTAATGGAAATTAATCAATGTGTATAGTGCATAACTCAGCACTGGGGTGATAACTTTGCGGGGGAAAACCCTCTGGCTGATATGTTAGGTATGTAACATACAACCTCTGTCTGTATGTTAGGTATGTAATATACTCTGCAGAATCAGCATCCTCATGCAACACTCCCGATCCTTGCTGAACTACCTGCCAGGAAGGCAGCATCATTTTCTGAGGAAATAAATGGAGGAATTTCACTCTTGTACCATTTGGTAGCCTGTGATTAATCACAACCAAAACCTTTCTGAAAGAAAACTGCTAAATACTGAATTTCTGTTCTTTTCAAATCCAGAACCCAAAAATAAGACCTTCCTAAAATGCGAAGCGAAGAATTATTCTGGACATTTCACCTGCTGGTGGCAGACGGCAATTAGTACTGATCTGAAATTTGTCGTCAAAAGCAGCAGAGGGTGAGTGAAACTACTCTGGTTTCTCAGCATTTTGCCAGAACTAGTTCATTAAGAAAAAAAGGGCAACTTACCAGTTAATGAAGAGGGAAAAACAAAATCGAGCCCGTGTTTTTTCAACCCCACTCTCTTGCCTAAGTTGGAGAAAGAACATGGAGATTTAAGCCAATTGCCTGAACAAGTGTACATGTTAGGAGAGGATACTGTCAGAACCTGAGAATAGTCCCTGCTGTGTTTGAACCCACTCATCCAAATTGCCTGGCACTGCTTCATTAGGGCTCATACCATGGGGAGGAATAAAAGGAGAAATCAAAGCTACAAATGACTTGCCAGAATTGCACCTTGAGTCAAAAATAGAAATGAGAGCTCTAGGGCATAGATCTTGGAAGCCCTCAGGCAGACTCCAAAACTCTATGAGGTCTCCCGAAATTTTCCCAGGGCCACCTCAACTCGTTTTTCTTCTGGTGACAACTCTAATCTGAAGTTCACTGTTTGTCCAACACACTTGGGCTTTCCCTAAGAAACCCATTTCCATGGATACAGAACTCATGTGTTAGCCCTCTGTGAGACTGCCTTTAACCATCAGCCAAATTCCTGAGCAGTGCAGGATAATGGAGCAGACCCTGGGTGGTCATCCTGACTTTGCCACTATTTAATTGAGTAAATTAAGCATTGGAGTCTCACTTTCCCATCTTGAAAATGAAAATGCTTGCTAAAGAAATGCTATACAAGGGCCGGCCCGGTGGCGCACTGGAGAATGCGCTGCTTGGGAGTGTGGCGGCGCTCCTACCGAGGGTTCGGATCCCATGTGGAGACCGGTTCCCGCTCACTGGCTGAGCGCGGTGCGGGCGTGACACCGAGGGTTGCGATCCCATTACCGGTCAGTAAAAAAGACAAAAAGGAAAAAAAAAAAGAAAGAAAGAAATGCTATACAAGCATACAAGGACATAGGTGCATGTGTTCATTGTGACATTTTTGGTAATTAGCAGAGGAATGGTTCAATAAAGCATAGTACGTTATACTCTGGCTTAATGTGCAGTCATTAAAATGAATAACCCAATCTGTATGTTCTGTCAGGGAGAGCTCCCCATAATACGTTCAGAGGGGAAAACCATACATATGTAATTTGATCCTATTGCGTAAAAAATAAAATCTATGTGTATATATAGATAAAAGATATATAAGCATATATATGTGGATATATAATTATCTTAAATAGTCATTGAAAAAGGTCTGGAAGAATACAACAAGCTATGAAAAGTATTTATATCTAGGGGTGGGTTTAAGGTTAAAAGGGGAATAAAAGAGCATATATATATATTTCCTTTATACACATCTTAATCATTTTAATTTTTATAATTAGTATGTATTGATTTTGTAATTAAAATAGGAAAAGTGAGTTTAAAATGCGAATAAGGGAATTTAATCAGGGACTCTGGATCTAAAAAATTTCCAGAATCACTTAGGCCAGGAGGCATGTCAAGTGCAGATTTCTAAACATTTGTACTGTCAAAGTTAACCTCGTCCATCTCCTGAGGGGGGCAGTTTCTTACCCCCTGGGGAGCCATCCACCAGTTGGAGAAACTGTGTCCTTCGACGGACCGTTGGGGCCATACCTGCCTCATTGGCTGTAATCACTAGAAACCCACTCACTTGTGTAACACGAGATAACTCCTGTCTTTGACTTTAGCTCCTCTGACCCCCGAGGGGTGACGTGTGGAGCAACGACACTCTCTGCAGAAAGGGTCAGAGTGGACCACAGGGAGTATAAGAAGTACGCGGTGGAGTGTCAGGAGCACAGTGCCTGCCCAGCTGCTGAGGAGAGCCTGCCCATTGAGGTCGTGGTGGATGCCGTTCACAAGCTCAAGTATGAAAACTACACCAGCAGCTTCTTCATCAGGGACATCAGTGAGTGTTTGGATGACTATATGTGCTTCATAAGAAAAGATGCCATTTGTCAAATGTTCACAATGCCCCATGAACCAGGGTAAGGGGTTTACATGTATTATCTTTTATTCGGCACCCCAAAAAAGTATGACATAGATACAATTATCAGCATTTTAAAGAGGAGGAAATTGAGTCTTAGAAGGGTTAAGCAAAATGTCCCAGATCTCAGACCTCACAGGTGGCCATGCAGACCCGGATCTGCCCCACTAGAAAAAGCAGGCTCACTGCTACACTTCCATTCTGCTGCCCAGGCAGCTCCAGGATGAATCCAAGAGCCCCTTGGGTGTAATATTTGTATTCAGAACCAGGGCTTCCCTACTAGTTGCAATTATTCCCAACCAATCCTTCTCCAGCATTTCAAAAGAGATTTCTTTATATGACAAATCTTCAAAAGTTCATGGGAAGATACACATTATCTATTTTTTTTTTTTTTTTTTTTTTTTTTTTTGGTGGCTGGCCAGTACAGAGATATGGACCCTTGACCATGGGGTTACAAGGCAGCACTCTAATCAACTGAGCTGACCAGCCAGCCCTGTATAATCATTTAATTTCACTTTTCCACAAACTTTTTGAAATGCCCATGTATATATGGAAGGGTATACAAGTATTTATATAAACCCCTCCAAGATGGACATGCATTTTTTAAATTGGCAGAGAGAGATTTCATCACTTATCATTTCCTTTACCATTTACTCATTAAACAGCCATCACAGTCAAGTGTGATAGAACCACAGAACTTGGTCTAGAATTTGTGGAGTGTTTGTACTTGGTGGGTAGAGGAGGGTGGGGTCTAATTCACATAGGGTAGCCAGGGAAGTCCTCCCTGAGGAGGTGACATTTAGCTGAGACCTAAAGGAAAGCTGTCAGTTGTATTAAGAACAGAAGGAAGAATATTTGCAAAGCACCTACTAAGAGTCATGGTCTTTGCAGGAGACATTGCTGGGCCCACAGAGCCCAAGCACATTCCATAGAATGTCTCCCCTTCCCCTTATCTAGAAGAAGATTCTTTGCTTGAGGATGGGGTCTTTGGGATACTCGCTGCTATGTCCTCTATGTGTAGTGAGGGGCTGGCACTTAATGGGGGCTCAGAAATTATTTACTGAACAAATAAATGAAAGAGCATAGAGACAATTGACTATAACTGCTACAAGTCAATGCCAGAAGCTATGAAAAGACAAAAGAAAGGGCAGTAAGCGGAAGATGTCTCCTCTCCTCCCCAGTGAGAGGTTCAGCTCAGTTCTGCATTTGGAGCAAGGTGGGGGACAGAGCACAGGGAGGGTGGTCCTTCACTGCCTAGCCCAGATGTGAGAGTCTTGATGTTGCTAAAAACTTTCTTCTGAGTACTGAGCAGAGGTAGTCCCACCACCAGGGCCCATCTGATTATGCAGTGATGAGAAGGGTTCTGAGCTTCTCTCAGGTTCTGCAGTAAAGAATGTGGCCCTCGATGACAACTGCCTTCCACGGGCACCAGCATGAGCACCAGCAGCAGAGGTGCCTCACTTTTGCCAGCCAGGCGCTCAGAGAAGCTAAGTGACAGTGCAGGGGACTCACTGCTGGCTGAGGGTGCAAGTGGGATCAGAAGCCGAAACCACCTAACTCCAAAGCCCCATGAGGAAAACAACGGGTGTTTATCCTTTTCCAGTCAAACCCGACCCGCCCAAGAACCTGCAGCTGAAGCCATTACAGAATGCTCGGCATGTGGAGGTCAGCTGGGAGTACCCCGACACCTGGAGCACCCCACATTCCTACTTCTCCCTGACATTCTGTGTCCAGGTCCAGGGCAAGAACAAGAGAGAAAAGGTAAGATGTGATTCAGGTGCAGTATATTCTGTGGTCCAGTTTATGCAGGCCCACAGCAGGGAGAAGAGGAGCGATAATAATAACTGTCTCTCTTAGCACTTTCTATGTGCCCGGAACTGTGCAGAGGGTTTTCTGTGTATAATCTCACTTAATCCACACAATTAACCCTACAAAGGCAGCTGGTATTATTATCACCACTTCACAAGTGAAGACATTGAAGCTCAGAGAGGTTAAGTGACTTGCCCAAGCTCACCCAGCCAGGAAGTGACAGAACCAGAACACAAACTCAGTCTGCACCAGCCTCTCCACTACCCCCAGGATGATTGATCATTAATCCTTGCACTCAGAATTGATCCTCAAATTGGAGACCAGGGCTCCAGGAGCCTGAAATTGTTGTTTCAACTGAACGAATATATGATTGATAGAACATTCATGCTATATCCCACCTAAAATGGGTAACTTCCAGATGTTGTGAAAATATTTTACTAAACAGGATGTCTGCACTTACATAGGTTAAGACGATGGCTCTCCACCTCCCTTGCCTTAGCATCAGAATCCCTTTGCCCCCTGAAAGTTTCCACAGGCACTTTTACAGAGCCCTCATTTCCTTGGACCCCACTTTTAAAATCACCGGACAAAGGCTATACTCAGCATAGCATTTAGCATGTGGTAGAAACTCAGTGATTCGGTCACTCCCTGAAAAATAGAATTTGGGAGTAGGGGTGGGGCTATTCTGGAATAGATTTTACCTAAATATTATTTAAAATCTTGCTAGATTCCTTTCCTATTTGAAATATATATATAAATTATAGGTAATATTGAGTGCTTTTTATGTGCTAAAGACTTGCTAAGAGTTTTACATGATTATTACCTTTAACTTTTACAATTCTATGAAGTAAGGATTATTGTTGTCTCTATTTATAAATGAGGAAACAGACACAGAGAGTCTAAGACATTTTCCAGCTGTTAAGTAGCGGTGCCAGGATTTGAAAGCAAGTTTGTCTGAAAAAGGATCAGGATATGGTATTTCTGGATATCCAGAGGATAATCTGTCTGAGTCCTGTAATCGGCCTAGTACTGCGGTGCCTGCCCACGGGGACTTCAGGCAAGACAGCCGTATCAGAAGGATGAAAGCTGGAGCAAAGGATTTCTCCCTTGGGGGCTTACAAAGTAGAAAAGCCACATTTGTGTTTAAAGCTTCTGCCAGTAGGTGGTGCAAGTTCTATTCACTCCCCTGTGAATTGCAAGCCTAGTGCCCTAAGACACTTAAGACACTAAGGCTTGTTTAGGGAGGGTCATGCTTTGCAGAAATATGCTCATCCTGCCTTGTGACTGTGTTGCCAATGGGCCTTTACAGAGTTCCCTTTCCTTTGCAGAAAGTTTTCGTGGACAAGACCTCAGCCACAGTCATCTGCCACAAGGATGCCCAGATCCGGGTGCAAGCCCGGGACCGCTACTATAGCTCATCTTGGAGCGAATGGGCATCTGTGTCCTGCAGTTAGGTGAGCAGACCCGTGAAGCCCAGCCCAGACCTGTACACTCAGTGTATCCAGGTGCAGGGCAATGGGGGAGTGGATAGGTGCGCGAGGGAAGAAAGAGGGGAAGGGGTACCCAGCACTTGGTTGCCAGAGTAAGAAACATACATTTGTTCATTGACAGATATTTATTTGATGTCTATGTTATGTGGGCACTGTGCTAGGCACAGGGATGCTTAGGGCAATGGGGGAGTGGATAGGTGCGCGAGGGAAGAAAGAGGGGAAGGGGTACCCAGCACTCGGTTGCCAGAGTAAGAAACATACATTTGTTCATTGACAGATATTTATTTGATGTCTATGTTATGTGGGCACTGTGCTAGGCACAGGGATGCTTCAGTAAAGAAAACAGGCACGGGTCCTGCCCTCCTAGAAAGGCAAAGAAGAGGGAGAGAAACAGCCAGGAGTCAGAGCATAGAGCCTGCAAGCTTCCAGGAGTTAAAACCTTGTACTGGGGGCCCTGGGGAGCCACTGAAGGGTCTTAAACAAGAAGTAACACAATCAGATATCATTTTAAGAAAACTCTCAAGAGAGCCTCTGGCAGGCATGGTGCCAGTCAAACTCCAGGCCACATAAGGAAGGGCTGGACCTTCTGACATGGAATCCTCAAAACCCGATTGCTTGAGATATGTGTTGTGAGAAATAGGAAGGCTTGACCACTGCATTTCTAATCCATATAGACTTTTGGCATTCTTTTTCAGGGACCAATCCTAGGATGAAACCTTGGAGAAAAACTGGAAGATATTAGGCAAAAATTTTTAAAGACATGATGGAATAGACCCAAAATAATTTTTACCTGAGTTGCTTTTTAAAATTTGTTTAAGATAATAATGATGTCTTTACTGTATTTTTATATTTAGAAGCTAAATGCCCACTGAAACAATCAGCTAATTTATTTATAGATTTTTCAGCTTTCAAGTTGCCACAGATCTTAATGCTATTTAAATATTTAAATAATTTATGTATTTATTAATTTATTGCTGTTATTTAACAATTGTGTGCCAGGATGTACTGAATGTTTTCTATTCTGATGGCCCAATCCATAAGGATGGGGTCTCATTGTGAAAAATGTGAATTTAAGTGTTATTTGTACTGACGACTTTTCCAGCCAGGCTGCAAGTACATCAGTTTTATGACAGCCAGTGAGAACACAGTGTTCTGATGCTAGCACCATCATATATTTGTGATGGATGGGAACATAAGAGATATTTAAATAGAGACATGAAGACACAAACCAGTTTGAGGAAGTCCTGGAGAAGGAGATGCTAGTTCCCATACCCATGAAGACTTCCTTGGAGTGGTGCTGATAAAGCAGTTCAGAGCCACTCGCACTTCTAACCAAGTTTAGTCTTTGGGTGTCTGAATTTTAAAAGGGCTAAAAAAATTATTGACACTGAAATTCAGCATCAGCCTCCCTGGCAGTCGTCACTCCCACCTTCTGGAGTGGTGCTGATAAAGCAGTTCAGAGCCACTCGCACTTCTAACCAAGTTTAGTCTTTGGATGTCTGAATTTTAAAAGGGCTAAAAAAATTATTGACACTGAAATTCAGCATCAGCCTCCCTGGCAGTCGTCACTCCCACCTTTTTATAGGACGCAACAGGGTGGCACAGAGACATCATTAAGTGTCTGGAAGATCAAAAGATCTTAGGATTCAAGAGGGAGGACAAGTCAAGTTATGGCTAAGGACATAAAGTTGTCAGAATTGCGGGTGGCTTCTTAACCACACGATGAAGCAGATGCGAAGAAAACGATCTAGAATCACTTCCTCATCGGCACGAGTGAATCAGCCACGTGGACATGACTGGATAGTATCGCTCCATGAAGGTGCTACTTTTAAGTAATGAATGTGCTTTCTGTAAAGTGATTACATTTGTTTTCTGGTTATTTATTTATTTATTTATTTGCTTTTGCATTTTGAGACCAAACTAGTAAAAATTCTTCTTTGCAATCATATTTTGCGCTTTCTCAGCTGACTCGGGTTTTCTTTTTCCAAGTCTACCAGGGGTGCATTTTTTTTCTCCTGTCATTGAAAAATTGCCCCTTCTTGAAGTGATTTCATTTCCAGTTTTGCAGAGTTGCTCTTTCCCTTTAGAGAACTTCCAAAGTCAGTGTCTTGCTGAGCTCAGTGAACGTCCCTGCAATGTGACTAGGGGGGATTCTTTGCAAGGGCACTGAACTGCACTGTGTCCTCTTTAGGAGTTGGATGCTCTTGCTTCTTCCACCTTCTCTCTTAGAATCAACTCTACTGGTTTCCCTAGCATAGTGAAATAAAACTCTAACCTGGTAGAGCCATGGGCATCCCATCTCCTAGGTCCAGATGTGGTATTTACTGAGGGTTTGCTACGTGTTTGGACATGGGCTAGCCCTTGAGGTTAAGGAGGTAACCCATGTTGCCTCCCCAAAGCAGTACCCACTCCTGGCACTGCTTAGAAGACAAGGATGGAAAGCTAAGTTCAATAACATTAAACGTGGAAATGTTCAGTACATATGGTGCCCTGAGGTGAGAATGAAAGAGAAGCATCTGTGTAACCTGGAGTCATCCAAGAACACTCGATAGAGAAGAGCAGGTGCCGACTTTGGGCCGAAAAAAGAGGCAGGACCTGCTGATTCCCATTTGGTGCCTCCCATGGAAAGAGCAAGTAGCAGGATCCAAAGAATGGATTCCAATTCCCTGCTTTCTTGAAAATCCATGTGTGCCACATCTGGGCTTCCTTGTAATAGCAGGGTAATTATAATAGCGTATGTGTTTACATTCCTGATTTTAAGTGTCCTTTGGAGCCCTTAGTTCACTATGCTCCTGGCCTAGAGGAATGGTAAGAAGTTTCTGTCATCCTACTCTCACCTTGAAAAACATCTTGTGGTATAAGCCTACACATGACAGCACATGGTTGGTTAATAACAACTACTTGTCTTCTTTACAGGGTCTTTCATCTAGAGATACCAAAGCATTTAATGGCATTTAATGAAAAACACTAACCAGGAAAAAGAATCACATTTCATAAGCCTTTCCCAAAACTTCCAGCCAGCCAGGGGCAAAGCCCAGATGTTTTGGCTCCCACCCTTCTCAGTGCTTTTCTGACATGACCTCTTAGCATTTGATTAATTTCAGTGCATTCAATGGAGAGTTTTTCTCTTTCATAGCTATTTTCCAAGAAAGTCCTTTTTATTATAAATCTAGCCACTACAAAATGTATCAAACATCCAAGCAAAAGATCTCCAGGCCAGGAATTAGAAGACCAGGCCCCAGGCCTAGCCAGACCTGTTATGTGACCACAAGACCTTGAGCTGGCATTGGACACAACCTGCTGGTTGTCCGGACCATGCTCCCTCCCGACTTCCTTCTCCCCTAATGCCCTTCTTCAGCTCTAAAGGTTGGGAAGCTAAGCAATCACTTTTTCAGCCACACTTATGCCCAGCAAAGCCAAGAGACCCAGTTCTGCCAATGAGATGAAAGAAAGTTCTACTGGGGGATTGCCAAGACGTTTTGGCTTTCCTGATAAAAGACAGAGCCATAGCTAACAACACCCTTTCCCTCCTTCTTCCTCTCCTGAATAGATATAATTTGAGATGTTTCAGAGGATACCTTGCACCCAGGTATCATGCAAAAAACTGTAAAGCTGAATGACCCAGGACCCCAGTGTTGTCAAGCCAGTGTCATCGTCAGGCAGCTGAGCCAACCCCTGTAACTACCTACTGTGAATTTATTGTTATGTGAGAAAGACCCATATTTCCTTCCTCTTTATTTTGGTGCAATACACATGACATAAAATGTACCATTTTAACCATTTTTAGGTGTACAGTTCAGTGGCATGAAGTACATTCACAGTGTGCACAACCATCACCACCATCCATCTCCAGAACTATTTCATCTTCTCAAACTGAAACTCTGTACCCATTAAACACTAATTCCCCCCGTATTTGTTTTTAAAATAAAAAATGATTGAACCAAAAATTAAATGAAGACATCCTTCTAAACATCCAGACCCCCATCTATGAGAGGCTGCTGGCCAAGTCAGAAAAAAGACCCAGGCCAGCCCAGGAAGGAGCTTGGGGTTTGACATCAGCAAACCTGGATCTGTCCCTCATGAGCTTGGGGAAGACAGGGAACCTGCAATCTTCAACGATGCCGTTGTTGGTGGGGGTCCTGACCTCTGTGCTATGCACAAAGTGAGAACATCAATTTGTAGGCCCCCTTCTGAAATCTGAAGGAGTTGTACCATTGAAGGGTCTGTCCTGCACCTCCCACATTTGAGAAGAAAGCGAGGAAACTAAGGGCCAAATACAGTCATAGAGCTGTCTCCTTAGGCTCCCACACCCTGTGAAGGAGGAATTCTCACCCCTGTTATTACATATAAGGAAACTGTGGTCAGGATCCCTCTTCCAAGGGCAGCCTGAGCATCAGCAGGACTCAGGACTTACCTAAAGAGCAGGGGTGGGGATCCCAGAGAAAGGCACCTCTACTGTTCCTTCATTCAACATTTCTGGAGTTGATGCTCTGTCCCTGTCATCACCCTCACTTTTCTGGAAATAGGGGTGAACAAGACCCTGCCTTCACATGGATTCTAGTCTCCAGAGGACCAAATGCTTGAAATTCTAAACACTGGAGGCCACTTCTTAAGGGTTAAGGGCACCATTAAATCAGATGAGTTTAATGTGATTGGCACAGTGCCTGGCCTCACAGTAAACACTCGGGAAATAGTAGCTATCCCACTGACCAGCTCTGTGATCCTGACCAAGTTACTTAACCACTTCAAGCCTCACTTTTCTCGTCCTTAAAACGGGATAATAATAGTATCAACCTCAGAGGGTGGTTGTGAGGATTAAATGATATAATGCTCAGAAAGTGCTTAGAAAAGTCTGGACTCATAGTAAGAACTCAATAAAAGCCTATAGTTACCCACTGACCAGCTCTGTGATCCTGACCAAGTTACTTAACCACTTCAAGCCTCACTTTTCTCATCCTTAAAACGGGATAATAATAGTATCAACCTCAGAGGGTGATTGTGAGGATTAAAGGATATAATGCTCAGAAAGTGCTTAGAAAAGTCTGGACTCATAGTAAGAACTCAATAAAAGCCTATAGTTGCTGGTCGTATTATATTACTTACCACCTTAAAGAAGAATCATTCTGGACCTGGTGCTTTTTGCCAGGGTTGGGAGATGGAGGGATGGTTGTTACCAGGCCTTCATGTTTCTGAGAACTGGATTGGGATGGAGGGATCATTAATTAGCTAATAAGGAAAAAAGAGGGGGCTCAGTGAGCTGAGATTTAAAAGCCTCTTCAGTGTACAATCCCTTTCTTATAAATAAAATTGCAAAAACATCCCCATGAGGGGGATATCAGATGCAATGAATCGAATCCCTGACCTCAGGGACTGTATGATCTGGTGAGAGAAAGAAAGAAGAAAATGCGGTGTATATATTAAAATATAGCCTGGCTGGGATAAAGCTATGTGCACCATAAATATTTCTTTTCACAAAGGTTTCCAGCTCCTGGGAGGAGCTGCTTCATTCCCTTTCACCTTCCCTGGATGTAATAATTTGTCCTAAACCCACCAATTCACCTTTCCTGTAAATCAGACTTTAATCATCTCTATTCCATTCCAGTACAGCCCTTCCTCCAGGACAGCATGTGTGAGCAAAATGTATTTGCACAAGACTTTCTCCAGAGGGTCATATTATACTAAGGAAATGAATTCTCTCTCAAGCTCATAAAATGCAAAAATAAAATCAGCATTCGGGCGGAGGAGACCAGGCGCGCATACTGAGAACCCTCCCTCCGCAGGAAGCGCGCTCAGAGCGGCTGATTTGCATTTACCTTCACGCAGGTCTGGGTTCCCGAGTCCTCTCGGGGCGCGCTGGCAGCCCGCCCGCCGCCGCCGTCGTACGCAGGCTCCCCATCCGGCTGCAGGGCTCTGCAGCTGCTCGCTCAGCTCCCCTGCCTCCTTTCATAAGGAGCACAAACCATCTGTCCCCTGCCTTTCTCCCCAGCCCACCAGGCAATTTCCCTGGCTGCTTGCAAAAGGAGCTAACCCGAGCATGGGGGATTCCAGGGAACTAGATATTCTG